AAAAAAAAAAAAAAAAAAAAAAAAAAAAAAAAAAAAAAAAAAAAAAAGATCTTTTCGAAGGGCGGGGTGGGGCGACAGTGGCCGGTGCTGGAGCATTAGCTCTGTGACCAGGGGGAGCTTGAGGCCATTGGAGTTATTCCGAGGATGGAAGGCATAACCACCTCTTTCAACGCAGTTGTTGCCGGTGCGGTGACCCTGTAACCTTTTAAGGGGCTTGACAGTTAAGAAAGTTCTTGAGGGAGGAAGGCACTTTCTGTCCATCAGAAACAGTCAGGTCGGTACTGGGGTAGTTTGTGCTGCCTTGTAACCCTAGCAAGGGGGGTATGAGAGCTGATGATTTCTGGTACAAGGATTGAAAGCTTGGGCGGCGTTTCCTTCGTCTGTGGTGAGGGGAAGAGATGGAGTGTTAGTGGTTCTTGTTCCTGTCCTGTTTCTCCTTTGCTTGCTTAATTCAATCTTAGGTAGTTGCTGTTAGGTTTCATGAAGGTAACTTCTCAGTTAAAAAAAAAAAAGAATCTCTTCAAAAAATCCAAGGTTGTGTTGGCTGCTGAACTTCATGGTCGCCTGGGGACTTCTAGAAACTCATCTGAGACGGCTCCATCACTGATATACTTAGCGATCTGCGGCTGTTCGATGCCAGAACGACGCTGGCCGGTGCTGGGGTGTTGCCCTGTAACCTGCTGACGCAGGAGTGTGAGGCCCGGTAGAGAGATCTGGAGATGCTTTGGGGCGGGCATTCCAAGGGACAACCAAGGGTTGCTGCTGGGACGACGCTGGTCGGAGCTGAGGCGAGTCAAGTTGCCCTGTAACCCAGCAGAGTGGGGGTGAGAGACCTGGAAGAGCTTGGCAGGGAGTAAGACAGTGCGGGAGAGTTTTAGAAGGGTCGACAGGAATTCACAAGGTTTTGAGCATTCCTAGGATCGCTGTTGTGGGCTGACCTCTTTTCTGAAGTTTGTCGTAGCAAATTTTCTAAGTAGCTAAAAAAAAAGGGGCTTAGTAGTCATTCATAGTTTTTCAACTTCCCTTTAATTCTCTTGAAATTCTTCAATAGCTCCAAGATTGATTTCCCAGCCGAACCCGGGTAATGGCCCCGCCCCGGTATCTCAAATGATTCGTGTAACTCTATATGGGACGCTGGGCCCGGTTCCCAGCACGTGCTGCTCGCCACGAATAGATTGGAGCATTTGTTCCCTCC